TCGAGAGCCTTGAGAAAAAGGTCCCAGATGGAGAGTGCCGAGTATCTATATATATTGTATATTACATATTATATATATACACTGTATTATATTATATATATTATATATATTACATATATTACATATTATATATTATATATTTTATATATATTATATACGAAATATACACTGTATACGTATTTCAAAGGATGTGTGCCCTCGATTTGCTGACGACATGGAGATTTGCTTTCACTACCATCACCCTGAGGGGGGGTTGTACATGGTCGGAATGATCTTGGGCCATCACGGATGCTTTTGGGTCAACTTGTGTCAAAGGGTCGCGAGTTGGACCCAGCGTTGGGGACGACATAGCTCTTTGTTCAAGCACCACCTGTTTGACTGTTGAGACAAGTTAAGAGACCTCACGTACAGGCAACAAAGCGGGGGTGCCCAAAACAGCCAACAGAGGTGGGGGGTGACATGATCGACTTCATAAGCTTCACAACATTGTCATAACAATGTTTCACCATAGTGTTATCGGATGACCATATACACAATCTATTCGGATGTCACGAAAGGTAGCCCTTTAGGGGATACCTTGAGTTTGTCTTGCGAAGCAAGTGTTGGGACGTCCGGGTCTAATAATTGATCGCTCAATTCAGACCCCCCCCCCCTCCCCCCCTCTAAAATCAATTCTCTCCTGGAGAACGTCTTCGTGAGCCTCTCATGATTTCAGGATAGTTGAAACCCTCTTGAACATTCAGAAAGAGTGAATATGAAATTCAAATCACGAAAGGTGTTCCCCGAGGGGATACATACCTAGAGTTTGTTTTGTGAAGCACGTCAATTCTGAGCCTTTTATGGTTTCAGGATAGTTCAAACCCTATGATGTTCCGATTCAATGCTCACTGATGATCTGAGCCATGGGGCAAGTTTGTTTTCCTAAGAATCTTTTTGAACATTTCGAGAGCATATGTTTGAACATTTAGAGTGCATATGAACATATATTTACGAAAGGTCGCCTCCGAGGGGATAAATCACCATGTCGAACATTGCATTTTTGTTCCTGCCTCTCGCGTTCTCTTCTCTTCCCGCTGTCCTACCTTTCGTGTCTCCCTCCTCTCAAGTGTGGCAAGGGGGGGTGAGGGACAAAACCGGCCGCAGAGGAGAACAGTGACTCCCCTTGACTTGGGTCGCAGGTGTCCGATCGAGTTCTGGAGGGGACACTGTTTCCTTGGTACTCGAGTTCTGGACCTTCAGGCGTTCAGGTCAAACCAGTTACCACCGGAAGGGACGGATTCCCTTCAGATTACCTCCACCAGAACTCAACTCGGTTGACCTCAACAATGCCTTTCGGCCCTTTTTGGCCTTTGGTTTGGAAAGCTCTCAACCCAGATTGTTTGGCCTTTTCTTTGGGAGGTCCATCCCGACCTCCCAAACGCAGCGAACCACTCGTCGCCCAACCCTCGACGAGTGGTTCGGCTGGTCAGGAGCTCCGTGAAGATCAGCTGGGCCTCAAACCCTTGGTGATGCAACTGAAGGCAGGTTTAGGCAGGTTTTATTCGCTAAGGCTGCGTGCACTCGAGGTGGTTGAGGGTCAGTTCTCTGCATCATTTTGACAATTTGTGGGATTGGACAGAGAGGGAGGGAGGGAGGGAGGGAGGGAGGGAGGGAGAGGAAGAGAGCTGGAGTGAAGGAGAGCAACAATTTTATGGTTGGACAAGTGTAAAGATAATCAATTTCTGCAGGTGAGATCAGCTACAGCAAGTTGTGAGTAGGTTTCATGAATGCCAGCCGCCCAAAGAATTCTAACAGAAGGTGTAAGCTGTTTTGTTCCGACACATGGGATAGGCCTGGTCAACCTCCGTGGGTAGGTGTGACATGTACATGTGGTTGGAAGATAGCTTCAGACTTCTTCTCAATGGCCATTGCGGGAAGTGTCTCCTGCCAATAGGACGAATTTGGGGAACCACCTGGTATACCACAAATTCGTCCCATGATTTGATCACACCTTGTTTTCCTCGCTTCAAGATGATTTGATCACACCGCGGACCGAGTACGGGCCGTACGGGCCGGACTGCACCAGGACACCAAGTCTTGGGGGGCCAAGTAGTGGTAGGTTGACAAAACCTTTACGGAGTCCTTTACGGGTCCAACGACACCCCTGTCACAAGGGCCCTGAGAGTGTTCGGCTGCTGTAGTTCCAGGAGATTTCTCCCAAGATCATCGAGCATGAGAGGTGTATCAGGCGCGACAGGGATAGCTGTGGTGTGTGTGTGTGTGTGCCTGTCTAGCTAGGGCTTTTCATGTGATCAAAGCACTAAACACTCACATAATTGTCCAGAATTTTCCTCATGCAGCTCTGAGGTTTCCATATTTGACCAACGATTCTCTCAAAGAGTTGGACCCCGTGGTTGAGAATGTTGAAGCCAGTTGCCATGTTAGGTTCTTGATTGTGCAATTGAAGACAGCCTGCTTATGGACTCCAGACTCCAGATTGAGGATATTTATACAAATGCTTTTGAACACCCAAAGTGGGAAAATTGCACTTGCCTTCAACATGTCATCACATTCGGCGTGAGAGTACTCACGCAGCAGTCCAGTGAAACAATTCATGACTTCGAGTCATTCGCAGTACGTAGCTTTATCACAGGCTTTGGGGCGGGGCTAACAAACTTCAATCCAAGACTGGAAACCTCGAAGTTCGTGTGACTTGTTGGGCTCATTTGGGGCATCGTTGGAACGCTGGGTTCCAGGCGCCTCGAGGACTCTCAGCAGAAAGCTCAGGTGCAACAGGGGAGTCCTGTGTGGAGCATGAGGGGATTGTGTGCGTTTGTGAGATCACATGGGGTGGCAAAGTTGCCTAATTACAGTATGGAACAAGTTCAATTCCCAAAGTTGCGCATTTGACAAGCAGCTATATATGGGATTTGTTTACTTATATAGTGATTAGGGAAGGACATCAAAGGGCCCAGTGCGGCAATCAACTCACTCACGCTATGGGCTGGCCTTCACCCTGATGGCGGGCTTTGTGCCCAGCAGATCTTTCTGCATGGGTCCTTGTTACTACTAGCTTCTTGCTACTACTAGTAAGGCACCGGATGAGATTTGGTGTCTCCCAAAACTTCAGGTGGTAAGGACGAGAAGGACCACCAAGTGTCACTGTGATGCGGACGGAGGGCGGCCTCTTAAGAGGGAAGTTCTACCACACTACCACAACTTCAGAATCCATATTGGAAGAGACACCGCTGTGTTGGATGAAACCTCGTGTTTTGGGTCTTGACCGCCCCTGGCGCCCAACAGATGCGTCATTGTGCCGCAAAGCCTATGGTCATGAGGCAAAGGTAGCCAACACTCAGGTCAAAAAAAGTCACCATTTTTGGTCAAAAACAGCCAATGAAGGAATGCGTTTGAGCCAAATGAATCAAGCCAGGATTACTGGGGGTTCTGGTCTCCAACAACTATGTCACACGTCTGGATAAACAATGGGCCAAGTGGAGGCAAAACAGAGATTCCAAAAAGAAAGAAAGAACCAATGCAGCAAGCAAGCAAGACAAAACACTCCCCGCTCTTGTAGGTTTATGATTGTTCTGATTTTGGCCGTAGATGGCGTTCAACGCCTGTGGGGCACCTGGAGAGAAGCTCCTATCAGATGCTTACCAGCACCAGTTCAGGAAAAACGGAGAAGATCATGTTTGGAAAACGGGCTTTGGGGTGGTGTACATGCTTGCCCAAGTAAGTTCGGCCTCTCATCTCCTGCTCTCCCAATATGTTTGGGTCACCTTTCACCTGAGGAGTGCGTAAAAGACGGAACACATGACATCTCATGACCTCAGCCTGAACAGACCTATCTGATCTCCCCTTGCGGATCTTTGCTCCCCCTGTATACGATTTGGGGCTCATGTTTCCCGAAAGTGCCAGAACAAAACAATATGGACCATCAATTTTGTGGATAGACATCCATAGAACTCCCGTGTCAGCAGTTTTTAAGTGTATACCTGGTCGCCTTCCTTCCTTCGACCATTTCAAAACGGGCTGAGCTGGTTTTCTAGTTCTGAGTCTAGACGACTCAGTCAAAC